AGGTTCGCCAGAAAGCGAAGTCAAAGTCGTGCTGAGAGGTGGTCAGTGCCAGTTGATGCTTCGGAGTTTCTCGCCATGCTCTAATTAAGTTGAATCAGGTTTCGAATTTACCGCTGTAAGGGTCCCAGACTCCCTCGTGCACACACGCACGCAGGCTAGTCTTACTTCGCTAGCCGGAAATGGTTAGTAGCACTGCTTCCTCCAGGTTACTATAGAAATCGCTAGTAGGAGCATTCCGTAGTGCAGCTGCCGCTGTTTCAGGGATGCGCAGCAATGGAACCCCATAGCGACAGTCTTGTTTCTCGGGGGTTACCCCGTTTTGCATAAATCCAGAGGCGCAGAGCGCCGCAGAGCCCCTGCAAAGCCCCCAAAAACCCGAAATCACAAACCAACCGGAATCCTTGCGCATGAATCGAAAGAACCCCAGACTTAACCCGAAACCCTAAGCCGGAGAGAACCTAAAAGCCCAAAACCCGCAAGAGAGCCTCCCAGGCCGTCCACTGCTGGTGCCCTGCCTGAAGCTCCACGTTCCACTGCCGGCATGCGGGGGTCCCGAGCAAAAGGTGGGAATCTGATTCTGGGCGAGTTTGAGGCTCCAGAGCTCAAGGTTCGTGATTTTCTCAGGAGCTGAGTAGGTAACCTTTAACCTTTCAGAATAGTTTGGGGCTAGTATGATCCTACTATAATTCAAAAGGTTAACCTTTTTGGGACTAGGGTACTCAGCCCCTAAGCTTTGGGGTTCAATGCAAGAACCTGATCGAGAAGTCACGGGTTCTTCTTAACTTCCGATTCGTTTCGGGATACAGAGCCTGGCTTCCCCACCACTTCGTGCATGAGCGCCACAGATAGCGACCTAGATGCTTTAGGCTTTAAGTGTGTTATTGGGGGGGGGGGGGTACATGTTGCCATGATGATGCAGCTGGATGTTCAGTCCGCTCTCAAAAAGTATCCAGCCAGCAACATTGGCGAATTTGAAGGCTTAGAATGGTAGAAACATGCTCAGGTCGGCACATACCCGAGCTCCTCAAGCTCCAGATGTGCAGTCAAGGCAGGAATTATTCGTCCCACTCCGATTGCCTTTGTTCATGTATGCCGCCGTGCTTGCGGAGGTGTTCAGATAGAAAGACACAAATAGGCGGATAGATCTGTCCGTACCGCTCGACGTGTCTTTGGAAACGTGCGTCACTAATGCCTTTACTAAGGATAACAGGAACGGTGTTGAGGAGGACAGCAAGGTGGATGAGGATCAGAAATATTCTGACAGTTTATGGTTTTTGTTGTGCTACTGTGCCAGTGTTTTCTTCCAGCGATGTTGATGTGAGGGGATTTCGCCGTCCCACGGAAAAAGAATCCAGAAGCAGGCGCACTCAGCCAAATCTCATGGCTAACAAAAACCTGTGCGACACTGTGCTCGGACTAGGCACCCCGAGTGTGACTGCCCAAGCAGAACCGAACCCTTATGAGCGTTACTTCTGTTATTTTTATTATTACCATGATGATTATGACAGTATCAGCATGTGTTGTCATTATTCTTATTATTGTTTTTTTTGTACATGAATCAAACAAACCCTTCCCCGGTGCAAGCTTCTTTATTCCAAGATCTGGACTTCGAGATACGAAAGGGTTGGAGGTGCGTCAGCGAAAGACGAACCTGGACAGTGCAACGAGCAGATTAAGAAAAGCGGCTGGTGCTCACTAACATTGAAGCTTGAGGTTTTCAATTATCTTACTATTGCTTAGGGCTCCTATTCCAAGAGAAGTACTGGGAGCATACCGGAAGCCACTTTCCTACGTATACAGGCCCCTACATGTTCTCCTGGCTCTTTTTTCTTCCTTTTTTGACCCATTCTACGGGCTCCAAGCTGGCCATTAGGGGCTTCCCCTTAAGGGGTACCCCTTCTGAACCCTACTTTTGGCTCTCTTAAAAGGGACCTTATTGAGAGGGTCTATGTCCCCTAAACCCTAAACCCCCCCCCCTAATCCTAGCTCCCAGGCCGCAGGCAGTCAGCCAGACGCAGCGAGCCTTGCAGGGGAGCCCAGGATGGGCACCAATTAGGGTTTAGGGTTTAGGGTTTAGGGTTTAAGTTTTAGGGTTCAGGGTTTAGGGTTTAGGGTTTAGGCACTACAATCATCTACAGATACTGTCGGCGTGTATGCGCTAAACCGGAACGGAAGAGCCAAAAATGGCACTTCAGAGTCCATCCTCACATCTCGAAACCCAGGCAGGTCGTGAGTTCAGGCCCTGGAGCTCGGGGTTCTTAATATTTAGAGCTCCCTTAAGCGTTGAGGGTTTAGAGGCTTCAGCGTTTGGTTTCGGGAAAGGGTTCTGCGAGGGTTTCCTCGGGTTCTGCCAGGGTTATATATGCTTTCTTACTTGTTAAGGCGTTGAAGAGTTCATGTAGGGCTTTGTGCGCAAAGACCGTAGTCAGGAAACCTGCAAGACCCTTTCAGGATATTATGCGAGTTCTGTTCTGTAAAACTTGTCACGTGTCTAAACCTCGGTAATGAAACCCTAGAGACATTGCAGAATCCTTCGGCGGTTATAGTAGCGTCAACTCACTGTGCTCGACACTAGATCTTGGTCACCCGTTGCATGGTTGGAAGCCCAATTTACAAAGTCTGGTCTTCGCAAGCGATCTACTGTAAGCATCGTGTAGCAAAGAACAAGCCAAACAGATTGTGACCGCGAATTCCCAGGGTGTACATCATACATGTATACATAATATATATATATATATACATACATACATATAAACTGTATAGGTCCTTTAAGCCTTACATATAACTTCGAAGCTTCACGAGGCCCACGCAGCCGCGTCCGCGAGGAGCAGGGCTCCAGTCTCAGCCAGGGGTAATGTAGCTTGCCAACCTCGGGCTACTTTTACTAAAGGGGTTTAGGGTTTAGGGCAACCATTACTAAAGTGTTACTTTAGGGTTTACGGTTTAGGGGGGCTACTTTTACTAAAGTGTTACTTTAGGGTTTAGGGTTTAGGGGGGCTACTCTTACTACAGGGGTTAAGGGTTAGTCGCGATATTATCTTGCGGATAAAGTGTGTTCTAGTTTTTCACAAAGAAAGCTCTATAGGTGAATGGTTATTTGGCGATCAAGACCTCTAACACGATCCGTCGTGCAAGGTCAGAAGAGTCCAGTGGAAAGGTTGTCAGTTCCTTCACCGTTGCTACATGACTGTGGCAAAATACCTCCTTCAATTACCTAAACCCCCCCAAAGTGGGTAAAATAATGGCCTAAGACCCATAACAGGCCATTATTTTACATACTTTGGGGGGTCTAGGTATTTCTCTTCAACATTGCTTTCCGACCTACACTTTTGGCCGACCGTCCATACCTTGGGTGTTTGTTGTGGCCACCAGAACAGGCGTGGGGTGGATCCTAAGCGGCAAAACTAAGACCACAAAGTGAAAGATTCGGTCTATTCAATCCTGGCCGGGTGGGCGTCGGGTTTAGGGTTTAGGGTTTAGGGTTTAGGGTTCAGGGTTCAGGGTTTAGGGTTTAGGGTTTAGGTGTGACACCAGGTCTCCCAGCCCGCAGCGTGCCTCGCATGAGCCTCAGCTCGGTGGCTTCGCCTTGGCTTGACGTTCCCGCGCTTGGAAAGAGTTAGAAAGCCCGCACAAGGTCCAAGTCATCTGAGACGCATCTCTACCTATAGTCTCCATTGTAGTTCCTTTTTGGGGATACCGTATAAAATCCTCAATATATCATTGGTTCACCCAAAATAAGGAACTCTAATGCAGACTACAGGTACTGGATCATTTCAATTTCTCCAGTTCCAAGGATGCAGGCGAGCGCACCGAATCCGGCGAGACCCCAGAGCTGCCAAATCGGGCGTCTCGAGTTGACAGGACCCAGAGAGCCCAATACCCCTTAATTAAGGAATATACCTTAAATTATAAAGGGGCTTCATATTTTGATTTAAGCTATATTCCTTAATTAAGGGATATTGGGCTCTCTGGGGAGTTTGTAAGGCTCCTCTGCCCAACACCAAACCTTGAACTCTAAGTCCTGAGCCCTGCAGCCCCTAAAACAACCGACAGAGGCTTTCATGTCCAATACCTAGACCCCCAAAGTATGTAAAATAATGGCCTGTTATGGGTCTTAGGCCATTATTTTACCCACTTTTGGGGGTTTAGGTAAAGACCATGCCCTGAATTCCTGACCACTCCTACGGCCCCAAAAGAGCAACGAAAGGTCCCCCGGTCCGCCCGATGCAGTGACGCAATCTGCCAAAGCCCGGCCGGAGCCCAGCACAACGTCGGGTTGCCCAGATTTGGTTTGAAGCTGTTGGGCTCAGGAAGTATGTTGAGTTGACTGCTGGCAGGGAGGTAAAAAAAAAAGTCGTCATAAGTATCAAGATCTGGGAGAGCCAGGTCTCCGCGATTGCAGCCAGGTGGTTCTGGGTCGGGCGCTTGGTCGCAACGGGGCACTGCAATTCTTTATCGTGTCAGTGAGGTGCTTGTACATAGGATCCATCTGGTCTTAACATGTCTTAACAGCGAGATCACGACAAGAATGATCCTACAGCATACACTGGTCACTACAGGCCTGCAGGCCTCCGCGGTGGCATGCTGAAGCCTCAGTCGGTTTCGGGCGTATGCCACCACATATCCCGGGTGGATGAATCATAACAATTGCGCGACCAACCGCGCCAAGAGGAGTTATTGACACTCAGTGGTACCAGCCTGCAACAGGAAGGGATCTGAACCGCCGGGCGATCAGCAGTGCCAGATCAGAAGATAGAGGGTAGCTTGGGGCAGTGCTGCAATTCCCCTCAAGCCCCTATAAATCTCAAACCCCTGAACCCTAAACCCGCAAGTCCAGGACAAAAAGTTCTCGAGAGAAGGCTGAAGTCGCGCTGGGAACTCAGTTTCTCTGTTCTGCCTGCGCACCACGCACCGTTTCAATCGAAGCCTGAAACCCTTGGCGCGGCTCAAGCCTATGCCTAGCACAAATACGCTCCAAGTCTTGACTGTGGCCGTTTCTTATGATGCAATTATTCGCGACATTGTGGTTCTTTGCTCACATCTGCGTCAGCGCAGGTGATGTGTGCAGTTCACCGAATTCACCAGCTTGTGGGGATAACAGCACCAGGAGCGGTGGCAACTTGTTCATACAGTTCCGGCAGGGCATCACCAAAGTGCGAGAGCCGGTAAGACCCGTGGTATGGGTCGCTCAGCCCTTCAGCGACTGCTTTCGCCCTTGCACGTCATCCCCAGATCTGAAGCCTTCGCAGCTTCGGACGCGAGGCTGCTTCACGATCGATGGCGAAGAAGTCTCTGAGGAGTTATGCGCAGCGCTGCCGCGGCCTGCTCTCACAAGGCACTGCGGCTGCGGTGTGCTGGGCTGTGACGAGAATGTGTGCAAAGACTTGCACCCGGATGCCGAGGATACAACCGACAATGAGGACGACGAGCACTTTGAGTGCTTGGGCTGCTACCCCGTAGCCGAAGAGGAATATCAACCTTCGTTTCTGGAGAGCAAGGAGGTCTCGCTTTTGGACGAGACGTGCATCGACCACAACGAGCAAAGTGGCCCCTGCCGTGGTGGAATGCCCTTCTTCCGGATGCGCAGCAATGCAATGACGCCTGTCATGTGCTTCGAGTTCTGTATCGGGGAGGGCCTGGACCTCTTTGCTCTTGTTCAAGGCGTGGAGTGTCGCTGCGGCGCAACGGCCCTGAACCTGGTGTGGCAGGGGAAAAAGCCCCGGCCGGGACTTCAGCTCCCACCGACCATGCAAAGCAGCTGCTTGGAGGAAGGCGAATGCCCGATGCGCGTGTATCGCTGGAAAGGCCCTTTCGTGTCGGGTGGCTCAGTGCAGAGCCATCTCTTGAAAATCTCAGAGGGTGATCAGGCCCACGTTACCTCCGTGGTGCTTGGCGAGCACGTCGGACTCGTGGATGGACACGTGCATGATGCAGAGCACGAGGAGGCCGCGGGAGATTCTCTCACCCAGGTCACGGCCGCGGAAAAAACGGACACGGACCGCATCGATCCTAACTGGCTCAGGAACTGTCCCGAGTGCAACGCTGGCAGACACTGGTGGGAGCGATCAAATGTGACGCCGGATGGCATGATCGATCAGTGGGTGGATGTCGTCGTCGTCAGGTACAACTGGGCTGCGAGCTGCGTGGATGATGAGGTCCGAAAGGAGGCCTTCCGTGCTGCAGCAGAGGTGTGGCGAACCGAGACCTGCATTGCTTTGATCGAGGATCACACGCGTGTCCAGGGCCAGCAACACATCAGAGTGAACAAAGCGTCATCTGGTTGCTCGGCCACAATTGGTCGCGCGAAGCCGAGCGAAGTGTACCTGGGATGGTGCAACAGCATGGGGCAAAGGGGCAACATCGTTCACGAGACTAGGCTCTTGTTACGGAGTTGAGTTGAGGTTACCATACTAGGAAGCTATAGTAAACAAGATCGGGTTTCCTTATTATGGCGTTAAGTTCCTTAACGAGCCCAGGAGATTGGCCACACTCTCGGCATGCATCACGCGCAGCAGCGAATGGATGGGCCTCAACAATATCATGGTTATGGTCCCCATTTGCAGCTCTACTGGGAGAACATGGAAGGCAACTGGGCGGCGCAGTACGTCCCAAAAGCTGGCCCCTACACCGGCTCGGCTTACGACGGTCCGAATGATGTTTGGGTGGGCCATGCGCCCTACGACTTCGAGAGCATCATGCACTATCCTCGCCAAACTGGCTCGAAGGGGCCTTACTACGACACTATTCCCGCGAGTAACAACAACCTGGTGGGGCAGAGAGGGCGTCTTTCAGAAGGTGATATCTTGCAGATGACGGACATGTACAACTGCGTGCGTAAGTCGGCAACTACAACAACGACAACCACCACAACTACAACGACGACCACGACTACCACTACAACAACGACAACCACCACAACTACCACGACGACTACCACGACTACCACCACTACTACTACCACAACAACTACCACAACGACAACCACGACTACCACCACTACAACTACCACAACCACGACCACTACCACTACGACCACGACTACCACAACGACCACGACTACCACAATGACCACAACTACCACAACCACGACTACCACGACCACTACGACTACCACGACCACTACGACTACCACTACCACAACTACAACGACCACAACAACTACCACAACCACGACTACAACGACCACCACGACAACCACGACTACAACTACCACGACGACGACAACCACGACTACAACTACCACGACCACGACTACCACGACGACGACTACCACGACCACGACCACGACCACGACCACGACGACCACCACCACCACCACCACCACCACCACCACCACCACCACGACCACGACAGCGGGTAGCGGACCCGCAACATTAGAGACCGGGCGGATCACCATAAGCACACTCGGATGGACAACCGTCACTTTCCAGAACCCCTTCACTGAGGTGCCCATTGTCGTGACAACTCCCACGGAGGAATTCCCGGGACCATCGACCGTTCGCCTAACGGACGTGACCAAGACTGGGTTCAAGGCTGTCGTTGCTGTGCCTTCTGGCACTACGGTCAGCAGTGGCACGATGAGTGTCTCCTTCTTTGCGGTCGCTCCTGGGCTTCGTCAACTGCCGGGTGCCAGCGGGCTGTGGCTGGAGGCAGGAACGATCTCGATGAAGAAGGTCCAGCAAGGGAAGAAATGCCGCGACAAAAGCATGTCAAGATCATGGTCCAAAGTGGACTTCTCGCATTCCTTTGCCGAACCGCCGGCTTTTCTCTCCACCGTTCAGACAACCAATAACGAGATCGGCCTTCCAACAGGGACTTCGCAACCGTGGTTCACAGTAGCAACCAACTCTGTTCACAACGCGGATGCTTGGGTTTCTCTGGAACTCTCCGAAACCGGCCAGGTTTCTGTTCCCCTCGTCAAAACCGACGAGGTCATTGGCTGGGTGGCAATGCAAACAGGCACGGAGACTTTCCAAGATACACAGGGAGCTTCGGTAACTTGCGCTGCTGCCGTTTCGGACAGATCCATCACCCACAAGACGACCTCCCTGTCCTTCGGAGCTGACTTGGGGGTCGCGCCACTGGTGGTTGCGAGTCAGTCGACCAGGTGGGGCGGCGATGGTAGCTGGGCCAAGATCGTCGGAACCACATCGGCATCAGTCCAACTCAAGGTACAAGAAGACCAAACCTGCAACGATGAGACAGGCCACACGAGGGAGGTCATTTCCGTTGCTGCATTTTCCAGCATCTGCACTTTGTGAACACAGGTGAAGCCAGTGAGATAGTCGTTATGCATATCGCTTCCGCCTGCACCACGATAACCGGCAGAGGTGCTGCCTTTCAGCGCAAGCACTGTCCAGGCTGCTTTGTAAAGCCCGGGCCGATGGCCTTGCGATCTCAGCTCGAGACACGCAGGCTGAAGGCCAAGCAGTCAGGTGCCGGCTTTCGCGGCTCGCTCATGCCATCTTCAACGTTGCAGTTTCAGTTGATGCAGAGACACTTGAGAGAGCCGCCTGTTTGCAAGGCGTCATGTTTGAAAGTAGCTTTTCAGCATGCTGCGGATGCGCGCCACGCAGATGAGTACAGACAAAAATCTGGAAGCCGCTTTTGAGCATCCGGCCGCACGTAGGCGCTGGGCTAGCAGGCATTGTGTTTTGATCATGTCTTGATCGAACTCAGAGTGCAAGCGACATGTGGTTTTTATGTTTCCCTTTCTCTCGTTCTTTGTTGCCTGCTTCCTGGAGCCTGCCGCATTTTAAATTAAAAGTCATTTGAAGTCGTACCCAGCATGTGTACGGTGCTCCGAATTTTGGGCCAACAGGCTAGAGCCCGGAGCCGAGAAATCCGCTGTAGCCCGAGAAGTCCTCTGGCGACGCAACTTCCTGCAAAGTCCGACAAGTGGACCAGCTTTTCAGCATAGACTTCTGGACCCTGTCCTGTTACGCAGCTCTCGTCGCCTGAGGTGGTGTCGAACTAAGAACCGTTGAAGCATCGGTATCTCTTGGGGTCACAGGCCGTCGGTTGCTCGTTTGCTGCAAGCCCTCGGGACTGACGAGTAGCAGCTGGTCCTTATGGAACCGACCAACACTCCGGAGTTAGAGCAATGTCTCTTTCTCTCACCTTCCTGACACAGTCACTGCGCCTAGAGCATGGGTCTTGGTTGTGTCATGGCATGCTTCCAGTATCATCGGGAAGGGAGGTGTAATCTTAAAGTACTTTCAAGCAGACAGTTCAAAAAAGCAGAACTCATCTGTTGTTCGAAAAAGTGTGAGGGCGCGCACTCGAAACCCTGACTGACAAGTGTTTCTGCGGCTGCCGTCAGGCCCACACGTGCCCTCCCAGGTGCTGCAGGGCCCGAAGCTCAGGGGCTCATAGGGGTTTAGGGAATCTGAAGCGCATACACAGGCGTATGTGCGTGTGTATAAATACAGACAGACACAGACAGACAGACAGACAGACAGACAGACAGACAGACAGACAGACAGGCAGGCAGGCAGACAGGCAGGCAGGCAGGCAGGCAGGCAGAGACAGACGGACAGACAGATATATAAAGTCGAGATAAAAATGTATTATCGGTAGAGAGATACAGACACGCAGATAGATACATAGATAAATAAATAGATGGATATATATATATATATATACATATACAGAGAGACAGAGATAGTGAGATCATGTATCGTTTCACGGTTTGGGGCTTGTAGAATGCGAGGGCATCTCACTCGAAAAGACTCGCCCGCATAACATTGCATGGGTTGCAGGTGTATACGATACCCTCTTTGTGACAAAAGGTGTGCTTCCAGCCCGTGAAGCTGCGATTTGGTCTTTGGTTCCTGGTGGAGGCCTTTTTTCAGGCCCTTGCCGGCACAAAGGAGAGCCCCAGGTTCACAACAGGGGTCGAGGGTTCCTCTGCTCAAAGCCCTGAAGTCGTATATAAGCTCCCGTGATTTCCTGACAAAGCATACCAAGAGTGACCCTAAATCCTAAACCCTAAAACCCTAAACCCTAAACCGTGAGCCTTTCAGCAGAACTAGCGTTTTTTGTCTAAGGCCTGCTGGCATGTCAATTGTACACCGCCAAGATGGGACTGCAAGTGCTCAAACCGTACCGGCGCAGGGCTCCCAGCATTTCGGTTCTTTCCAGGAGAGCAGAGCAGTTATAAGTATTAGTTACATACTAGCTCACCGTCCAGGTGTAACCATAGTATAGGAAGTCGTTATATAGCCGAGAGTGGTAGCTATGTGGAACATGACAGGTACTAGAAGTGCTCGAAGCAATGCTACTGCGCGCCCACCGAGGTCCTCCAAGTCCAGGCCACGAAGCCCTGGGCTGGGAGTTGAAGTCGAGTTGGCAACTCAGCTTGGTGTTTCTGTCCGAGTTTAGGGTTTAGGGTTTAGAAACCATGCCCGTAGTACCAACACTCCAAGATTCCAGTTCTGTCGCATGTGGTATGACCCTCTATGCACGTCGAATGCACCAGAGTGGCACTTCGTCGGCCCTTGGACATGTAATGTAGGGGCCTTCAGAATTAGAAGAGGGTTTTGGGGGCTCCTTAGTATATTTATAGTATAGTATAC